TGAGGAGGAGGGAAACCTGGAAGATAAACATCATCATATCAAAATATTGTCAAGGCTATCACTAACAACAGAAATGATTTAGCAAGCATGATTGCAAAGGATTTTTCTCTCAAATTGAGGTACATAACTTTGATGCCAGAGCCCCCCAAAATAATAAAATCATGAATTTAATTATTCAATTGGCTCTCCAGCCTCATATCCTTGGGCTTTCCAGACTCTGATTCACCCAACTGTGGATCAAAAATATTTAGAAAAGAAAAAATTGTATCATACTGAATATATACAGAGCCTGTTTTCTCATTGTTATTCTAAACAATATGAAAACATTCACACATTGCCATGGTATCAGGTAATGTAAGTAACCTAGCGACGGCTTATACCATACAGGAGAATGATGGGGGCAGATGTGCAAACATCACACCACTTATTTAAAGGCAAACTTGCTCAAGACAAGATTTCGGTGTCCAGAGAACCAGTCACCTAAGGACGCTGAAGGACAACTGTACATGTTCTCATTTATTTTATTTGGCCCTTACATCATCTCTTAAAAGCAGCTATTTATACTTCTGCTCTATAAAGAAGGGGAATTAGACTAACAATGAAGCAAGAAGGAAAGCTACTGTCAAGCCAGCTCCTTTCCCAAGCTTATGAGTGCTGTTCACCCCAGGGATGCCTGGCATATTTGGGTTCAAATCCTGCCAGCAGGAGGTTGGATAAAAAATGATAAAAGATAAATGGCAGTCAGGCCTGCTGCCCAAGCCTGTAACCAGCCAGCCACATAAGGCCATATGCTCAACAAGGGGCTGGCGCTTGGATTTTGTGCTCTGCTGTTGTTATCTCAAGATTCTTAATTGTTTGGTTTTTGGATTTGTGCCCTGTGAGTGGAGTCTGACGGAACAATGGCACTTGCTCCTAGGGCTTGGAACCATAGCTTACATGCAGCTCAGCCCCTGCTCAGTTGCCAGTTCCTCTACCCTTAGCCAGTGTTACTTCAGCCTCCACCCTGCTGGGAGCCCATGCTTCCTTATAAACAAAAGGATCTGAATTTTAGTTTTCAGCAACAGGCCAATATACTATACAGAAAATCAACAGTCATGAACCAAGGAGCCCTTGAGCAACTTGGCAGATTTCACACAGCATCAACATGGTAAAGTTGTAAAGCTTATCCTTAATCCCAAAAGTAGCACTCCAGGGACACCCAGCCTGTCACACTCTCAAACCCACTCCATTCCTATGGGTCAGTCTTCAGCTTGGATCTAAATTCACTAAAAAGAACCTGAGCTTAGACTCCTAAGTCTTAGACTGTCGTATGCTGTGTATAAATCAATTGTGTTTACTTCATTCACTCCTAAATTCCACCTGTGTGCTCCTTGGGGAGGGAATAACCAAAACAATTTGAGGTTTTGGCTCCAACAAAAGCCTAGTGGGGCAGAGTCAGGTTGTCCTTCATGTTCCTTGATTGTGGAGGGTAGGATTGCAGTTTCACTACATATTTCTGGGTGTGCATCACCTTCTTAGATAGAACACACTTCTTGCCCCAAGGAAGTGGCTAGTCCCCATGTTTGTGTGTTTGTTGTCTGCTTGTTTGTGCTGCTCCTGGGGGAGACTCAGTTCTGTTCTTGTCATTGCTCCCAGCTAGAGCTGATTGGCAGGACAGGGGCTCCCTGGCCCTGCTCCCAGGCAGTTGGTCTGAGCAAAGGCTGTGCACTTGAGCAACCTGAGCACAGAAGGGAAGCAGGTGGGCAGAAGGGGCAGCCTCTGCTCTCCTGTGACTGGCAGAGCTGAGGACAGAGAGGGCAGCAGGTATGCCTGCAAGACACCCACAGGTTTCATCATGCCCTCTGTGTGGGGTCCGCAGGGCATAGAGAACACATGCATCCCACATTCACAGATGAAAAGCCTGCCTGTGTCAGGGGTCTGGGAGATAGGGAGTGAGGCTGCACTAAAGAAAGCCAAACCCAAAGAACCTGGAATCTTGCAAGGGGTCCCTGGCAAATGAACTCAACCTACTTAAAAGTACTGGATTAGACATTGGGGACTGACTGCAAGTGGGCATGAGGAATTTTACCAAGGTGATGGAAATACCATTGGAGTATGATGGCAGTTGTATAGTTCTCTCCATTTACAAAATTATTGGGGAAAAAATTTAGGACTGAACCAGTGGTAAGTATGCTCTCTGCCAGTGAGCTATGCCCCCAGCCTCAACACAGGTAAATTTTATGGTAAATAAATTATATCCCAATAAATCTCTTCAAAGAAAAAATGGAAACAAAAAAATATATGTATATACATATATATAGAGAGAATATAGTATCATACATATATGTTCTCATTTCTTTGAGGATTCATGTCCATTCAGGTCCTAGATCCAGATTGTTTATGTTCCTGTTTTCAAATCAATTTAATGAAGTATAATTTACATATAATGAAATGTGCAGTCTGATGAGTTCTGACAAAAATAGACATCTGTGTAACCACTGTCACAATCATGATAGAGAACGTTTCCTTTCCCTCCCAGAAGTTACTCCAGCCTCTATACAGCCAGTCTTCTCCCCTTCCTGGGTGGCCCCAGGCCACCACTGATCTGTTTTTTGTCACTATAGATTAGGTTTGGCTCTTCTAGGATTTCACATAAGTATGCTCTCTTATATCTGGCTTCTTTCACTCAGCATAATATTTTTAAAATCCTATACCAACCACACTTTAAAAACAAAACTTATGTTAGTGGTTTCTCCAAAGTAACAAACCCATCCCTATTCCAAGAGCAAGTTTTCCAAAGTAGGAAACAAATTTCCTTCATCAGTCTAAGGTTCCTGGATGAAAAGGGTTTTCTTGAATAATATGTTAGAAAAGGATCCAACTAGGGTCCTGTGGCACAGGTCAGCCCACAGGCTGTGATGGAAATCAGGTGCAGGCTGCAGGGACCAGCTGCTCTAGCTCCCCTGGCCAGCCGCAAGGTGATGTCATGGTGGGGCACCAGCTTGGTAAGTAACTGAAAAGGAACATGAAGAGTTGATATTTCAAATGACAGCCATGTTGTAAAACTACTGGAAATCGAACTCAGGACCTTGGGCTTGAACTAATGCAGTTGGTTTTTAAAATGTGTATCGGTGTGAAACAAACTCTGTTTACTGGTCAGATTAATTGCACTACAGAAAAACAAGCCACTCAGGAGTATAAGATGAGTTTATCTCTATAAAAATAATTTCTGAAAAATAGCAGCATGTGCGAAAATGTGCTATATATGCCAATACCAATGTACCATACATGTCTTGTATATTTCTGTGAATATATGTGCATAAGGTGATGTTAGAATCTTTCAGGAAGAATTAATGATAGCAACTTCAAGCAGTTTAACCAATGCATTTTAAATTCACATATACATATTTTAAATATTTTGTATTTTAAAACACAAAACAGGAGAGGATTTACTTACTTGAATTGTATGTAGAAATCTTGTTACATTTGGGATACTACAAAAGCCTGTGGTTTTAAAGTAGAAAAATACTCACTTTTAAGAGTGGACAGGTGGAAAGAGAGCTGTTGAACAGAATGAACACACTGACATGTCCTGGATCAACATACCTCTGTATTAAAAAAGAAGAAAAGGGCCAAGTGTGGTGGCAAGGTCCACTTGGGAGCTGAGGCAGGAGGATTGGTGTGATTCCTGGTCAGCTAGACTACGTAATGAGTTCAAGACCAGCCGAACTATATGGTGAAACCGAGTCTCAAAAAAAAAAAAAAAAAAAAAGGAGTAGAAATGTCTATTCCCATCATGAATATCTGTGTGTATGCACAGAAAATATAGGAAGAGTACTGATCTGTAAATGGCAGTTTGTTTTGGTAAACAGGACTCTGTAATTCTAGATGTATTTTCAATGAGCATGTATTATAACTGATCAATCTCTCACTTTTTTAAGGGAATGATATTATGGAAAGAATAGTCCCAACTTTGCTATTGACTAGCTGTGGGATCATTGATGAATAAATTAATCTGTCCAGTTTACACCAATATTATGAGAATAATTTGAAATTATAGATGAGGAAGAGATTAACTTAAAACACACACACACAGGTGACTAGAAAATATAGCAGTTCCACTGAGAAAATTTGGCCAAGCTCTTCTTTAGAACTGGTTGACTTCACAGATCTGCAAGGCTGAGGTCATTAGAAGAACAGCCCTAACATACAACCCTTCTATTTATAAATGTTACTTCAAAAGGACTGAAATTAGGGGGCCACAGAACACCCACATTATAGAAAAGATTGTATATTATGGAGTACAAAGTATATCATTAGTCATTGTTACTGAGTAGAAAAAATTAGCAATTTAGATTTCTTTTTTCTCACAACATATGTAGAGTTCTGGACTGGTTTCACTACTCACTATAAGATTACCTTAAAATTCCAGATTGTCTATATCCCTCAGGAACATAGCTAATTTTAATTCTCATACAGTGTCAGGTATGCAGAAGTTCTTAACCTGACACTTCCTAGAATATATTAAATGTGTGTGTAAAATGCTTGAGAGTAGGAGTGCTTCATATTTTGTATTCTTTTGGATTTTTGAACATCTGTCTTCAAGGTGGGACCCAAGTCTAAATACAACATTCATTTTTTGTGTGTGTGAATAAGCAGGCTTTTATTTCTTTTAAAAATTTTTATTTTTATTAGTACATGTTTGCAGTACATAATGATTACAGTCACTGTGGAGAGTTGGTGCATGGACATACACATCTTCATTCTTTTTATGTCCCCCTCCCATTTGCAAAAGTTCCACCCTCCCATTTCCTTAGGTTTCACATATGTCCTATACACATACTCTGAAGGTAATTTTATACAATGCTTTACTAATTTTGTGCATGAAACAGTTTCATGATGCAGAATTTTCCATCTGTGTCATCAAACACTCAAACACTTTCTGATTTTGCAGCATTTCAGATTTTAGGGTTTTGGATCAGAGATACCCAACCTGTGTTCCAGTTACAAGCCCTTTGTCATTTGTTGGGCTAGTATCTGAAGAGAGATTTCAACTTTGCTGCTCTTTGGCTTACATTTAGTTTGCATTTTATATTTACTTATTTAATTTTTTAGTACAATTGACAAAAATAATATGTAAAGTGTATAGCATCATGTTTTGAGATACAAATGAATATGAAATTATTACTGCAATCAAGCTAATATATCTATCACCTCACATATTTAGCAATCATTAATTTTCTCTGATTAGAAACAGTTTAATAACAATTCAAAAATGCATGCTCTCAAAACGGAAAACATGTTCAGCATCTCACTGTCAGAGGCAGATTATAGCAGTTCAGTGAACAATATTCTCTGATACCTTGCTATTTCTATGCATCAACACATTTTTGAAACTAAAGAATTGGCAATGCCATATATAATGCTTTGTAGGCATCTATTTTTCACCTCAATTCAGATCAATATCAATCACTCTTTGGGAGATATAATTCTTAACTCCTTTCTCTTATCTCTTCCCTTACCCTCCCACCTCCTTATTCCTTTCCTTTTGTCTAATAATTGTCTCCCTTCTATATATTTTCATGTTATCTTTTTAGATGTCACATATTAGGAGAAAACATAGCAATTATGTACTTGTCTTTCTGCGTCTGGCTTATTTCGATTAACATGATCATGTCCAGTGACATTGTATTTTTATTTCCATCATTTTCTGCTTAATGAAATCTGCAGGAGACACCCTAGCAAAGTTGTAGGCTGTCAACTGGGTGAAAAATTGAATGAACCAAACTTCATTAACAAGAGATTAAAAGGGAGAATAAGAAATGACAAAATACTAGCAAATATAAAATGTTACAAAAGCACCAATACAATAAAATTTTTTAAATTTATATTTTATAGAAACCAGCAGTATAGACATTACATACATGGGCCAAGTAGGGAGTGGAGCAAGGTCTTCCATTTTTGATGAAGGGATTTGCTTCAAACAGTGGTGACCAGAGTCCCATTTAGAAGAGTGCAAACCTCTGCACGCCGGAGACCTGGAGGACCCAGTCAAGGGTGTGGAGCCCAGGGCAATGTCCTCTGCAAGTCCTATTGAGGATCTGCACTGGAAAGGCCCAAGGGCCATTGGCAGAAGCTAGAAACCTGTGCTGTTGGGGTGAAGGGTTTGTGCCAAAGGCTGAGATCTGCACTGGAGCCAGGAGACATGACAAGGATTGAAGTGCTCTTGAAGGAAGACAGCAGCCAGAGCTCCTTTGAAGAAAAGCCACCAAAAAGCAGCTTCTTCAGGAAAATCAGCATCATGCAACTTTCCCTTCCCCCTCTCCTTTTATGCCCTTCTGGCAGCAATTCCCAGGTGGGTCATCCACACCCAGAACCATGCTGACCCAGTTCAGCTGGGTGACCCTGCTCAAGCTGACCTTTAGTTAATCCAACACAGGACATTAGATCATCTGCAAATTAAACATATAGAGATTAATGATTAAACCACTCATAGCTCTTAGATGTATTAAATTTTGTGTGGATCTAGATCCAAGACCTATTCAAAAAAAAAAAGGATCCAAACTCATATTCAGAATGAGTTATTCTTGGTCTTAATAAGTTATTAATAATTTCACTTCTCATTAAGACTGAATTTTTATATTACTTGTTACATGAATGGGCTGTGCTTAGGTTGGAGGGAAAGAAACTAAGACAAACTTTTAAAACTTTTAAACTGAGAATCCTTTGCATACAGAAAAGCTTAAAAGATATTTACTTAGTGTTATTTGAGTATGGAGAGCTTAAATTGTCTTAGTCAGCCTCTGAGTATCTCCATAAGGACCACACCTCCATGTGACAAGCTCACCTCTATCTGAGCTCAGGCCCTTGTGAATGTACATTTTTTTGAATTTATGTCCCCATCGTGCCTTTGGGAGCCCTCAGTCTCCTGCTTCTTTCCAATGTGTATTCAATGATGAGTCCCACTGGGAGATGGGAACTCTTCTCTGCTAGAATTCAGAAGAAATTGGGGCCAGGGATTTAGCTCAGTGGTTCGGTGGCCTGCCTTGCAAGCGCAAGGACCGGAGTTCAATACCTGGTACCAAAA